ATGAAAACTTTGAGAAAATGGTCTGGCTGTTTTACAGTTTAAACAACAAGTCTACCTCATCTTGTCCTCGCTCCAACCCTTTAACCTATCCCTCCTCTTTGTCTCTCCCTCTCTCTCTGTCTCTCTTAAAAAAAATTTTACAAATTTTTTTAAAAAATACAGCACACGAGAACCACCCACAAGTCACTCAGTTTCTAAACTGGACCATGGTAGCTGTAAGTGATTTTAGTTTAAATTTAATCTAACACAGGCAGTATTTCAACCATACCGTGATGAGAACTTGAACAGTAGTTAGAATAAAAACCTCTTATCGATGGTCAGTATAACTAGATTTTCACATGTACAAATTAGTACTGTGTTAATAAGAATTATAACTGGTTAACACTGGTTATGTGAACATGGAATATATATTGGAAAAAGGTTTAAAAGGTTCCGGTTATGTGTTTGATTGGCATTTAGAAGTTGATGAATAATAAGACAGGTTTGATACTTGTGGATAATAACTTCTTTATTTTATCATGATGTGATATTTCAGTATAGAATCTAAACCAAAATGTTGCATCATAATATAATAAAGAAGTTTTTATCCATAAAGAATCATACCTTTCTTATTAGGTCCCTGTTAGTTGGTTTTAACACTACAATATTGCAGCTGTATGAAAGTGGTTTGTGAATAATAGAAGTTGGATCAGACAAACTACTGGTTAAAAATGAAACATACAACTTTATGGATGACAACTTCTTATTTATTGCATAGAGCAACATTTCGATGTAGATTCTTACACCATTATCAAGCTAAAAGTCACTTCTTATTTATTGCATAGAGAGACATTTCAATGTAGATTTTACACCATTATGCAGTCACTTCTTATTGATTGCATAGAGAGACATTTCAATGTAGATTCTTACATCGTTAACAAGCTAAAAGTCACTTCTTATCTATTGCATAGAGCGACGTTTCGATGTAGATTCTTACACCGATATCAAGTTGTCATCCATGTTTCATTTTTGACTCACTTACTTCTAGAATGCCGATCACACAATTGAACTACTGGTTATTGATACTGATCAACATTATGACCATCATACTATGTATTGTGGGTACAATTACATGCTATCCACTTAGTCACCTGATCAACATCCACTTAGTAGCCCTGTATGACATCAACTTAGTAGCCCTGTATGATATCCACATAGTAGCCCTGTGAGACATCAACCTAGTAGCCCTGTATGACATACACTTAGTAGCCCTGTGAGACATCCACTTAGTAGCCCAGTATGGCACCCACTTAGTAGCCCTGAGAAACATCCACTTAGAAGCCCTGTATGACATCCACTTAGTAACCCTGTATGACATCCACCTAGTAGCCCTGTATGACATCCACTTAGTAGCCCTGCATGACACCCACTTAGTAACCCTGCATGACATCCACTTAGTAGCCCTGTATGACATCCACTTAGTAGCTCTGTATGACATCCACTTAGTAGCCCTGTATGACATCCACTTAGTAGCCCTGCATGACATCCACTTAGTAGCCCTGCATGACATCCACTTAGTAGCCCTGCATGACATCCACTTAGTAGCCCTGCATGACATCCACTTAGTAGCCCTGCATGACATCCACTTAGTAGCCCTGCATGACATCCACTTAGTAGCCCTGCATGACATCCACTTAGTAGCCCTGCATGACATCCACTTAGTAGCCCTGTATGACATCCACTTAGTAACCCTGTATGACATCCACTTAGTAGCTCTGTATGACATCCACTTAGTAGCCCTGTATGACATCCACTTAGTAGCCCTGTATGACATCCACTTAGTAGCTCTGTATGACATCCACTTAGTAGCCCTGAGAGACATCCACTTAGTAGCCCTGAGAGACATCCACTTAGTAGCCCTGTATGACATCCACTTAATAACCCTGTATGACACCCACTTAATATCCCTGTATGACATCCACTTAGTAGCCCTGCATGACATCCACTTAGTAACCCTGTATGACATCCACTTAGTAACCCTGTATGACATCACTTAGTAGCCCTGTACGACATCCACTTAGTAGCCCTGAGAGACATCCACTTAGTAGCTCTGTATGACATCCACTTAGTAGCCCTGTATGACATCCACTTAATAACCCTGTATGACATCCATTTAATAGCCCTGTGTGACATCCACTTAGTAGCCCTATATGACATCCACTTAGTAGCTCTGTATGACAACCACAGGTTGCTGGGGCCTGATGTAAATATGAATGACATTCACCATTTTGGTGAAACAAAATATATCATGAGACAGACAAACACAACTCATATAAAATACCCCATCAGGTGAAACAAAGGTGAGAGGTCTGTGTTACTGATTGTTGGGTTTTTTAATTTTAATTCCTTGATTCTGACCACCCCTGAAACACAACCTACGCAACCTACCTCAGGTGAAAGAAAAAGGTGAGCGATTTCACAACTCCACTAAACACACTTCCACTTTACATCCTAATATCGCCTGTTGTTCAAACACATACATTGTTTTTCTTCTTCAGAACATTAACTTCAAATCAACCCTGACAACATCTGTTTTATTGTTTAAATTAATTCTGACCATGCCTGAAACAAGACACTTGTCTGGCCATTCAGTTGTTGATTATAGGAGCATCAAAATTTAGCAATGGTCACTTTGTCAGCTCTAGATTTTAAACTGCAGAACATGCATGACACAATTTCTTCTTTTCCCGTGTAACACACCACTCAGCGCCTCAAACATTCTGCTGCCTGCTCAAGATATTATCTTCAACACTACATTAGTTTTTCATAATTGCTCATAGCAAAATGAAGGACTGTGTTCTGGTGATGTTCATGCTAAGATGAATAGATTGAAAACGATTTTTTTCTGTATGACTGAGAAAAAGCTTGTGAGAGAGATCATTTCATTTCAAGATTCCTGTAACTGATTTGAACTCAAACCCCATTCAGCCAGCCAGCCCAAAACTCTGGTCTCATCTCAAATTCTTGCCAACAAAATTCTCACGCACTTGAGATATGTATATATTAGCCAAATCTAACAATTCGTCTTTTGGACTGGATTTCTTTTACAAAGCCAAACTTCATTCTAATTACAGTATGTACTTACTATACGTAAAAATATAGAAGTTTTATGGTATTTGCATATGGCTTAACATGTTCAAACAAGATAAAATAATATCACAGACAGCAAGCAAACATTTCTTAGCAGGAAACTCATAGCTATGTTTTGTTCAGAATGAGTGATCTTCTGCCGGTCCAGCTTTTTATTGCTGTTTAATGTCACACTTAGCAATACAGCAGCCATTATGGTCAAAGAATAATGGTCAAAGAACAACTGAGTCTGAAGCACACAATCCAGCAATCCAGGGATTGAAATAATGACCATCAATGTAATGGGATATAATGACATATATCAACCAGTGAACCCTAGACCTGAAGTACTTCTCTTATGACCAGCACAGATTGCAGCTTTCCAGCTGTATATATATATATCAAAATAGAACATATTCAAAACTTTGAAACTAATGACTTCATACATTATAAATGGTAATATTGAAAAACAAGTTTGTCCTATTAAACTTAACAAGTAAAATGTACTTTTCCAGAAGAAACATAACAAGTTATAGGTGGTGTGAAAAAAATTAGTACACGATCGTTCATAATTTATGGCTAGGGGATTGATGATGATTTTAAGGGGGGGTCACCCATTTTATTCTGGGTAGTAGGGAGGGGTCATCAATTTTGTAAACATGTACTAGGGGGAGGGTCAGTGATTTTGTACATTATATGTGGGGTGTGTGTGTAGCGTGGCGTCACACTTACTTTGTACATACATTTTAGGGGGGGGGGTGTGTATACACATTGTACATGCTTCGCCATAAAATTCGCATATTGGGGTAAATTTGAGTCATTATCAACTCAAGGGTCTCTATGTTGAGTTCAAGACAAGACATTTAATACATCCAATTCAAAGCATATCTGATTCGAAGTTAAACTAATGATAGATACAATAAGAGTTTGCTTGTACAAGACTATGAGTTTAACACAACTAGAGATGAGATACATCCAAGCGAAAGAAAAGAGGGATTTAGCATGTTGAGTGTATGAATGTTTAAAAAAATATCCCTTTGACTATCATTAATAATTTTGAACCTGCATTTACACATACTGTCCCTCATCTGCTTTCTACGAATGGAAGGACTAAGCTGGTTCAAATATGAACTCAAACTCAATAAACATCTTTAGATTCCTTGAACTGGTTAAATGTTTTTGTTCATATGTGTAACAGAGATAAGTGTGTATTGTCATTATGATTTCATCATATCCCTTTCAGATAAGCATAGGACAGTCAAAATGTGTTTTATTTAATATCCTGTGTCTGACTATGCCTGTAGGTCTCAGACTTGTGATAACTGATGCATTGAACCTTAACATGATGCTTTATATCCTATGACAAAAGGCATGTATTAAAAAGGGAGGTCCCAATTAAAGTCAAGGGGTCACCCAATACATTTTAGATTTATATCAAACCCTTCTGTATAAACTCTATCAATTACAAAGTTTGTGGCATTTTGCTTATGGTGGACGCAAAAGAGTTTAGGGGGCGTGACTCTATGGAAGGATTTGATCACACTTTCAAGAAAAATTGGAACGACAATCAAGTACACGTCTGCCCAATATCACATTGTATCAAATTACTACACAAGAAATCTCAGTACGTTTGAGTTCATATACATAGGGAGTCGAGTAGAATATACGTTTGCTAGTAACTACATCCATCTCTGTTTGACAGTTGTAAATCTGACACGGGTGACCTGCATCAACTTCAAATCATCATTGGCCGACGTAGTGAAGTATCGGCCACAAACTCATCGCACACGGTAGATCAATGTTCCTCAAATACGCAAATGTGATCCCAAAATTCAACTAGATCTACAAGCTTATGACTCTGACCTAAATAGATCGTGTGCAAGAGAACATACACATTGTCATTCGATCAGTGTTTTCACCCCAACAAATCCCCGAGAGCCCCTCAATTGTAATGCTGTTATGGCGTGTCAGGGTGAAGTTCATTCAGTACGACCTTTACCCAAGATGGAGGGAAATCCCTCTTCCATATAAGGAAGTATGTGCACTACGTCATCGAAAAACATATCCCATGATGCCTTTCGAAGTTCTATTTCTAAACCATCCAATCACGTCGTTGATCGTTCGGATATGTCACGTGCTGTATGATCTCATCGGCAGCCAATGAGGTTGCACTTCAGTGATGTCATTCTATTTTTAGGAAAGTGACTCATCTGTTAAATAGGCGGTAGACCTTCTCCACGTTTAGGTTAGAAAAGACCGTGCTCACGATCACAGCTACTCAGTGTGTTGAAAACTTTCACGATATCACGACTGTTCTCTTGACTTGAGACCATTACGGTTTCAGAGGTAAAGTTCACGTGAAGAAACTTTTTCCTTCAGTCAAACTGTTTTAATTGTGTGTTCATCATGGAAACTAATTTCTACGAGACGGACGATGCGGCGAGAGAAATGCGACAGGCCATGAAGAGAAAAATAAATTCATCGCTGGGACTGTTTTCAAATTCCGGCAGTGGTGACAGAGATGCCGTGAACAGACTGAAGCAAAACATGAAATTGGACTTTAATTCCGAAGGATCAAAGAAGTCGAAGTTTAGTCTGCTTCAGTCTCCCGACCTAAATATGCTTAAACTGGCGTCACCTGAACTTGAGAAAATGATTATTCAGGCAAACGGCATGGTCACCACGACGCCGACACCAACTCAGTTTATTTTCCCGAAGTTTGTCACAGAGGAGCAAGAAGCTTATGCTAGGGGATTTGTAGATGCTTTGGCCGAACTACACGATCCCAACCAGACAGAGAATATCCCTGTCGCTCTTCAAGGCAAGGGTGTGGTTTCTAGTCAGTCGCTACCCCAGACCTCAAAGGGGGGTGTGACCCTATTCGCCCCGAACTCGAACTCTGTCTCATCCTTCAATTCAGCACCCGTGACCACTCAGGGACTGACCACTACTACCTCATTGCCTGGAGGACTAACTGTGTCGTCTGCTTCACGTTCGTTGAAATCTGTGAGTAACAATGACTTACTTCTTCCTCGCTTGAAAGAGGAGCCACAAACTGTCCCATGTATTGAGAACACCCCTCCCCTCTCGCCCATCAACATGGAAAATCAAGAGGTAATCAAACTGGAGAGGAAGAGGGCACGAAACCGAGTTGCAGCTAGAAAGTGCCGAACGAGGAAACTTGAAAGAATTTCACGTTTGGAGGACCGTGTCAAGGATCTGAAAGGACAAAATGCCGATCTTGTTACAACTGCCACAACTCTTCGAGACCAAGTGTGTAAGTTGAAAAGGCAGATAATTGACCATGTCAACAGCGGCTGTCAAATCATGATGACACAAAACATCTCATTCTAAGATCTGACATGTGTTTCCAATGATCAAAGACTTATAAACTGCAGGGACAGAATTCTCAGTGCTTTCCATGGCCAAAAATGTGATGTGATATTCAGACTTGACTCCTGGTACGGTGACTGACTCGGAAGCAACAGTCCGAGAGCTGGTTGATGTTGTTGGAACTGTTGAACGGTTCGGTTTGTCAGTTAGTACCACGTAGTACGGATATTTTTATTTTTGTAAATTTGTACATATGCAAGACTTTGCGATTCAGAGGTGCTTTTGTTTCTTGAATTCTTTGCAATGTGCGAAGATGGTTCAAGTGCGAGATACGATGTCATTTCATTCATTATGTATATATATATCATTCCACCCACTAAATTAAAGGTTATCGAAGTTTAAATCTGTTTGTATGTTGTTGTTTTCAAACGCTTTCCAACGTCGCATGTTTGACTTCAGTACGTATGCATATGTGTACACAAGGATGTCAGCCCACCCCTCTGGAGCCTCACACAAGGGCGCCTCGCCATTTGAATTCGATTGTTCGAAGTTAACGTTTGTGCCATTTTCACAAGAATAATTGTAAAATGTTTATGATTATGAGTTGTATAATGACAATTCTTCTCATTATGCTAGGTTACTGAAGTCAAACAAGTGATACATTGGACCAGTTACATTGACGAATTATGTCCTCAAGCCTGTGGTCTATTAGTATGTTTGATATACAATCTCATGGCGCATGTATGTACACTGGGAGATATGGAAAACGTCCTTTAAACCAAAGACTCACTGACAAATATCGGATCCGATGTTCACAACGGAAGAATGACATCGGAAGGCTATTTACATGCGAAATACAGTTACACGAAACAACATTTCATTTGACCTCAGGTTACAGTTTAAAAAATACTCAGAAAATGTAACAGATGTGAAACAAGCGTCACAAATAATTTATCTTGCGAATTAAACTTAGTGCTATGCCATTTTTGATAACGAGGAATTCCAGACAAAGGCCTTGAAATTCCCAGCGGGGATTTCTTGCCGTGCTTGTCGCGAGATCGATAACGGCACTCGCGACCCTGCCCTTGTCAAATTTTGCTCAGTTCAATTGAGCTGTCATATAGGGGTAGGGGTCACGCGTGCGGTCCGTACAATAAAGAAATAACGGTACAATGATCCAGAGCGAATATCACACTAGAATATTTAGGCCACTGTTTATATGGGAAACATCTGTCACATTGTATCAAAATTAATACAATATACGGTATTCCGTTTGTTAGAAGTAAAATCTATGATAATGTGCTGACTATCGGACCGTAAGATAATTTGTATGTTTTTGTCTGTATATATTCTACATACGTGGAAGTCAATAGAGTTAAGAACTGGTTTCATTTAGAAAGTGGAACGCAACGTCACGCAAGGATAATTACAGAATTAAACTGTACGCATCACCGATTAATTTTATCTAGAGAAATAATTGAAGTTTGGACTACTCCCTGTTCAACGTGCTGTTACAGCTAGATAGCCACTACGGGAAAAGATGGCAAACAAACACACGCACAAACACACACACACACACACACACACACACACACAAAACAAAACAAAACGGATTTGATCCAAAACTACAATCAATGTCAAAACGTTACTTTCCAGAAAACAGCTGCCTGGAGAACGAAAAAAGTCCAAACACACAACTATAATAGTATTAATACTAGTGTGGAATACATCACCATTTTGGTTTGTATCACTTTCACACCAACATCAACTGTTATATACACTCTTGGTATATATATTGGAATCTCGTCATTCCTCAACGATCTTGGTATGGCACTATACAATAACCCTGCTATATGACGGCGGACTGTCACTAATCTAGCCCCCACAATCCGGTGAGTGACATCATGAGCACACAGTGGGATACGGCATCATGCATCAACCAAATAAGCCTGACTGACCAGCCAACGCTCCAGATATGGCTTCATGTACGACATGCATGGATTCCTCAAGACAAATACTACCCCAGGTCTTCACGCGAGACCCGTCATGAATATGGAGGTGTAAATCTGAAACAATATTTTTATTTGCAATATTAAACATGTTTATCCCGAACAAAACCCATATACATAAAAGTTTCTGGAATCGCTATGTCGCTGACACTGTCACGCCATCTAGGCAACGAGTCCTTCACATTTAGACAACAGGCTATCAAATTCCTTCTCTGACATACACTGTAGAACTGCTACAAGACGACAGCGTATGCCTAAGCCTTTCACACTCCAGGCAGTTGTCAAATTAACTCTTAATGTTAATCAGCAGCTTAGAAACGTTTGAGTGAGTGAGTGACTGAGTTTAGTTTTATGCCGCTTTTAGCAATATCACGGCGGGGGACACCAGAAATGGGCTGTACACATTGTACCCGTATGGGGAATCGAACCCGGGTCTTTGGTGTGCATGGGATTAATTCATTTGCTGCATGTTACAATAAGGTCTCAGATAAACTCTCTACACATTCACCAGAACCGTAGTAGCATATCCAAATATGCACATATACATTAAACATTATGTTAATGAATTGTCTGGTTTTTGGTCGATGTTATTAAGGAATATGCTTTTGATATTGGCACAGATTCAAACCTCATGAAGACGTCATACAAAAGGTCGACCTGTTAATAATCGATTCTCTAAAGGGGTTGGCGGCATCGACGTCCACGATAATTCCTGGCGCTTCTTTCTTGCTCGGGGTAGCCTAATGGTTAAAGCGTCCGTTCGCCACGCCGAAGACCTGGGTTCGATTCCCCATATGGTACAATATGTGAAGCCATTTCTGTGGTCCCCCGCTATGATATTGCTGGAATATTGCTGAAAGCAACGGAAAGCCATATTCACTCCTTTCTTGCACAGTCTGGTTTTTTTGGAAGAAGTTCCCGAAAGGCATTTAAAAGTTGGACGATCATGAATGAATGACAAGTTTGAAGGAGCACAACATCTTTTTATTCTTTATTACAACACGTTTCAGAGCTAATTCTTCCTTCATCAATGCTGAATCAGTGCATAAGGTTTGGGAAGCTTCGACTGACTGACTGACTGAGTTTGGTTTTATGCCGCTTTTAGCAATTATCACGGCGGGGACACCAGAAATGGGCTGTACACATTGTACCCGTATGGGGAATCGAACCCGGGTCTTTGGTGTGCATGGGATTAATTCATTTGCTGCATGTTACAATAAGGTCTCAGATAAACTCTCTACACATTCACCAGAACCGTAGTAGCATATCCAAATATGCACATATACATTAAACATTATGTAAATGAATTGTCTGGTTTTTGGTCGATGTTATTAAGGAATATGCTTTTGATATTGGCACAGATTCAAACCTCATGAAGACGTCATACAAAAGGTCGACCTGTTAATAATCGATTCTCTAAAGGGTTTGGCGGCATCGACGTCCACGATAATTCCTGGCGCTTCTTTCTTGCTCGGGGTAGCCTAATGGTTAAAGCGTCCGTTCGCCACGCCGAAGACCTGGGTTCGATTCCCCATATGGTACAATATGTGAAGCCATTTCTGTGGTCCCCCGCTATGATATTGCTGGAATATTGCTGAAAGCAACGGAAAGCCATATTCACTCCTTTCTTGTTGGTTTTGGAAGAAGTTCCCGAAAGGCATTTAAAAGTTGGACGATCATGAATGAATGACAAGTTTGAAGGAGCACAACATCTTTTTATTCTTTATTACAATACGTTTCAGAGCTAATTCTTCCTTCATCAATGCTGAATCAGTGCATAAGGTTTGGGAAGCTTCGACTGACTGACTGACAGAGTTTGGTTTTACGCCGCTTTTAGCAATATTCCAGCAACATCACGGCGGGGGACACCAGAAATGGGCTTCACACATTGTACCCATATGGGGATTAGAACCCGGGTCTTCGGCATTACGAGCCAACGCTTTAACCACTAGGCTACCCCACCGCCCCGCGAAGCTTCGAAAGGGAGTTACTCAGTATATGGATACGACTTGAAGATGTGTTTACTTCTGTTAAGTCGAACGCAGACACTTATTACCTCGAACTCGGTTAGATAGGCGTTAACCTACTCGTTTTCCTACACTGTACTGAAGAGGTGTTATATGTTCGTAATAACCGTTACATGTGGAAACAGCGTTTATTTCTCATTGACTCGCTTCACTTCGACATATCAGGACTTCATTTTAAACATACTTAGTCATACTCTCGATGTCCCTAGCGCAGTTTTGTTAATGTATAATACTCGAACTAAACAAACGATTATTTCATATCAATATACATGTAATCGGTTTGCGACACACACCACATTAACATATAAACATGTCAGGTTGTCCATAGCTCCGTCTTTGATTTAAACGTTCATGCATTATAGGGTATTCCGTCTTTCCCTTGACGTACCTGCATTATTTCACTAATTTAAGTCTGTATCACAGTCCCTTAACCATATTTTTCCCCTACAACCTAGCCCTCCCTGCAATGCTAAAGCCCTAAATGAAGTAAGTCAAGATTTCTCCAGGTCCTTTTCAATTTTAAATGGGTGTATTGTTACAGTCAAAATTATATATATTCAAAAGCTAAGCGTTCGTCTACATTTCAATGTAAAAATCACTAAGCATTTTTAGTATCATGTTTCAAAGATAAAATTTAGGTAGACCGTAAAATGGCAGAAACCTGTTTCCAACATTATACCCGTCTTGCACTGTATAGAATGACAAATGTGCTTTTCAACATGAACGACTTCAATGTTTAAACTACTTTCAATGTACTTTAATACAGCATGTAACAATTGCCACTTTTAAATATGCCCATATTGATTTATCATATGCATATATAAAAACAATTTATTTAACAACAACATCAAAAATATTTTTCTATTTGTCATGTGATACCAAAATTTAAACTTTAAAAAGTGAAATCATACTAGATTATACACGAATACGAGAACTGCAAATGTAATGAACTATGGAAACGACCTGGATACGGTTGATTACATAGATTAACTATGATTAAAAGTGAAAGACAAATAGTAATGACTTTGACCAGCCTCAGGCAATTTGATCTTTAAGATAAACTGCTCCGGGGGTATATTGGACGCTAATCCATGAACTTGTCTCGTTAACTGACAGTCGCTCGTGTCATTTTCCACGTGCATCATATATCACAGTCACGTGATAGATACTCGGGCATTCTTTTGTCTGTGTTCATAATGGACAATGGGTTTTCTTTTCTATTATCTCCACATAATTAATTCACAGAATTGACAAAACACCTTTTTTGCAATGAGTAAGCCAGACACTGTGATGGAAAATAAGTATTCTTTCAATGGAAATCTATTTATTGACAAGCGAACTGGATTCGACATAATGTTGCTGAATGT